TGCCTTGGTTGTACAATGGGTTGATATATCGTCGAAGAGTTCGGGTTGTACCATGACGTTGATGGCATTTGTGTGAGCTGGTTTTGGTCTAACATCGGCGGAGAGTTCATGGCCGTTGCCATACTCGCAGCAACTCTAGCATTCTCCTTCTTTCGGCGATTTTGGAACCAAATTTTGATCTGCTTTTCCTGCAGATTTAGCTCCAATGACAGGCTGTACCTCACCGGTCTGTTGATGACGGGCATCTTCTTAAACGTCTCCTCCAGCTTGCTCAGCTGGAAAGACGTAAACGAGGTGCGTACTCTCCTCGGTCTTGTACTCCTCCGCGTTTTCTCTAGCTTGCTCTTGTGCCATCTAATTATAAAGAAAACAGCAATAAACAAATTAGTTAGCAAAATATTAAAAAAAAACGTTTTTGTTGATCAACTTACCTCCACATTGTTGTAATATACTTGATTCTGCATATTTTGTAACAGGCACTACTTTTTTCAATTTGTAATTGTTGTTGTCTGAACGGAAGACACTCCGTTTTTGAATGATGGCCTCAAGCTCTCGTCGGTATTTATGCATCGAGTCGGGGTTCTAACCCTGTGGTGGGGATAAACTCTAACCAATCACAAGGCACAAAATGTTTTCCCTGTGGGCATGCCTCCTTCTTCATTTTTTTCTTCTACTTAGAAATATTTCCAAGAACAAACCAACAAAATAAAATTAACAGTTTTCAATGTTTCAAATATTATATTTTTAACAATTTTCTAAACTCACAAAGAAAAAACTAATAAATTTTCACATTCAATCAACTTCACTCATATTACAAATTAATTATATAAAAAGAGAAATTTTTACTGTTATGCCAACAACAAAAAAATCTACAATCATTAATTGAGAGAATTATTACAAACATTATTTCAAAAATTCAATTTTTTGTTCTTAATTCGGAAGTTATAATTTTCTAAATTTAAAAATAATACTAGCTTTTCGCGTAAAATTATATATAAAAAAAAGTGAAATAAAAAGATTTTTTTCATTATTTCCATTTTTTTTTAATAAATTAAACATAGTTTTTACAAGTAATACAACTAAGATTTGCATTAATTAAAATAAAAGTTATAATTATTTTTCAGAGGTTCAAATTTTTGTTCTTAATACGAAAGTTATAATTTTCTAAACTCATTTTTGCATCAACCATAAAGAAAACAAAATACATTTAGTCGTTTGATCAATTTCACTAATATCTCAATATAAAATTAATAAAAAAATACTCTAATTGATTGCGTACAATTGTATAAAGAAAAAGAAAAATTCAATTAATTTTAACGCCAAAATGGATAAAACCACAGTAATGTAAATACGCAAACATTCAGCGTTCTTAAGCATCTTCTGGATAAAATCTGATTTTTTGAGAAAATCACTAAAATTTTTTTTAGCGTCATTTTTTCATAACATCAAATTTCAGTAAAAGTGAGTTAAATTTATGCATTGATTCACTATTTCAATGAAGATTCAGTTTTTATCTTTTCTTAAACTTTTATATTTTTCTTGTAATTTGTGCTTTTAATATAAGTTCAGCATTAAAAATACATGAAAATTTCAATTTCTAAATTTTTCAACCATTTATTTTGTTAATCGCATTAATTCTTACTTACTTT